CACAAGGTTTTAAAATTAAACGCAAAATCTCATATAGGTCGCTCCAGAAGTGTGTACAAATATGGAGGTAACTAATTTTGTTCGCCCACTTTACATCAAGGACTGAAACTTATGGTAAGGGGTATATTTAATTGGTCAAGACAAGCAGTCCCCGATTTCGAAATATAACTAAAATAAGGAAAATCTGAATAAAGTTATGGCTTAACCCTAACCCAGTTCACATACTACGGTAGTATATACCCTATAAACTTATGTCAATGTGTAAAAAATATGAACCAGCTTGCATATTTATTTACAATTAACAGAATAATAATGAACGTGAAAGACTTCTAAACATTTTTCCACCCATGTTTCTTTTTCGCCTAACATAGGTATTTGTCACAATATTCAAACATTGTCTTGCATAGGTTAAGGGGTTCTCAAACTTTTTGTGTTGCGGAGCCCTTGAAAAGGTTGACAATTATTCACGGAGCCCCAAAATAAATGTTATAATTGTTGTTTTCCGATTAATATTCCTGAGTAAGGTAAATGTACTTTACTTAATTTAAACGCTAAACCTTTTTTATTAGGGTTAATACAAGTCATAAATAAATCTACATTTAAAAGATAAATTATATATATATATATATACTAAAGCTGTAAATTTGACACTTGGCAAACATATTAATAATTAGGGGTCTAATCTTTTCTCTTTTGATATTTTTGGAAGACTTAAAGGGCCGCGTATAATGTGCTCGATTGCATTTTGTTACAATTGCCGATTGTTTTCGTCAGCATGGTGTGTTTTTAAACCTTAAACATCTTTACGCCGGTGTCTATTCTCCCTAAATCGAAAATTTCCTTTGGCATATACATGTATTGTTCCACAATGACGACGATGATTGCTTTTTTGTTCTCGTGGGAAATTATGTGTTCAACGTGAAAAACATGTTATGGTCATCGGCGACGAAATGCTAAAAATAATAATTAATAAAGAGGTAACTCAAATCCGCAACTCAAATTTCTTGATTGAAAAGCGGCATTCTAAAATAATAAAACTAAAACTTAAAATGAAAGATCACAGTATAAGTTTAGTTTCAGCAGACTTCAAAACGCTTTTTTAAACAATGTTAATCACAAAATTTGGTTTTATGTTAGGTTTCTTTGATTATTCATCGTAATAACTGCAAAATCGAAACACAGTCAATTGTGCGCGCGATATAGTCTACCTTTTTTCCATTCTGAAACTACCGACGGAACCACATGCAATGAAATAAATTTCAATCGTTCGTATTTTGCCCAGATCTTGTGATTTTTTAAACGCGATATTGCTTAAAAATAATCTCGAGTGAGAAAGAACAAATCAAGTTTGACAAATCTCAAGATCGCAAAATAATGACTCCAGTTTTGTTTATAGTTGGCAGTTTATCACGTAATGTTATTTTTGAATAGTAATCTTTCATTTTAATAATCCTAATAGTAATCTCGAATCAAACGTGAGTAACGATGAGCACAAATAAATTATAACGACAAGACACTTTAAATGCTCGCATCGGTCATGGATTGTATATGTTACGCAACAGAAATCTCGTTATCCTTTTTAATCGCGAAGAAAGTTGCGCGGAAATTTCCTATTCCAATTTTGAACCCCCTTCCTCCTAAGAATCCTGGCTGCGCTCCTGCTTATAAATAATGTCATTTTTTAATTCCGCTTCTTTGCCATATTTCGAGGCTATATTTGTTGTCAAATTTTATCAAAGCTGTTATTGATTCTTTGAACAGTTACAAAATTAGCCAAGTCAGTATTTTGAAAAGTAATCGAATAGCTCGCGGAGCCCCTGGATTTCTCTCGCGGAGCCCTGGGGTTCCGTACGGAGCACTTTGAGAACCTATGTATAAGCAAGTATTTGCCTGAAGCAGCGGGCTTAGATTTTTAGCAATCTTGTAATTTTCATGACATACGACGCATCTGTTATTGAAGCTGACGTTTGCTATCTGTACCCAAATCGTGCGGTACTTTCAGTTGATTAATTTTTTGCTGGCATAGTTTCGGAAGAATCACAAAGTTGCAGAATAATCGCAATAACGTTTGTAAATTAGATTGTAGTCTATTATTTTTAGGGCAAGAGCAGTTGAATGAAACGTAATGAAGACTTGGATGATGCTGTCAGACAGGACTAAACATAGCTGCTAGGTTGGAAACCACTGCATTAAGCAATATAACCAGGTGCTTGTGGCAAAAATGAAAATGGGCACTACAGAAATTTCCGCACTTAATTAATTCACATAGACGATTTTTCAATTGTCTTAGTGTTTATTAGACTAATTCGCAGATTCGAATCGGTCAAACGACATATACCTCGATATTGGCCGGTTGAAATAAAATACTCAAATATTAACTTGAATCTGTTTGTGTAGTATGAAAAAGCTGACTGAACGTAAGAAATTTGGTTCGCGGATTCACTTCTCAACATATCTTATCGCAATTACACAATTTTCTTGAAAAAAATGAACAAGAACTAAAAATGAGATAGAATTTTATTTTCACGAATAAAGCAAACGCAAACGATAGTTTCAGATAAACGACTTCCATTCAGTTATAACTACACATGCTTCTAAACAATTCAGTTCGTGACTTCGTGTATTGTGATTTTTGAGAGTTAATTCGCATCGTCTTGGGCTGTCATTGGTGGCGTTGCTAATTAAGTAAGATTCGGATACACCCGTTCTTCATCAGTAGCGGTAGCGCAGGGAGTACGTAGCAACTTTAGATTAAACATTATAGGCCATGTATCAGGAGGGTACCAGGAGTTCGAACCGGGGGTACGTAGTGACTTCAGATTAAACATTAGGCCAGGTATTAGGAGTTCGAACCCCACCGAGTTGTAGGGCAGGATCAGCACACAGTCGTGCTGAAAAGAAAGCCGATGGCAGGACAGCAGGACCCTGAAAATAAAAATGGTGAAGGTGGTGGTAGAAACGCGGGCAGACAGCAGCAGGCAAGCCGCCGAGGAAAACTGATAGGCCATCGTCTGCACACAATACAGATGGCAGAGGCAAAATATAAGCCGATGGCAGAGTAGCAGCCCAGGAAAGTTAAAATAGTGAATATGGATGGTAGTGGACACCTGGGTAGAGACAACAGCAGCCGAGCCGCCAAGAAAAGATGATAGGTATATAGACCAGTGAGGTAACGAGAAAATAGAAGAGTGTTGAGTGCGAGCACTGTCCCAGGGTGGAAAATAATAAAAACGAGCAAGCTGTCAGTCGATAAATAATATACAATACAAGTAAAATGAAATATGGCGAACTCGACGATCAGGCGATTCCAGCTGGCAGTCTACAGAATTGCAGAAAAAAGAGAAAGTGAACAAGAGTGACCGAACCATGAAAAAACTGCATCCCCTAATTTTTAAACCGTGTTGACATTTGCATCCCCGTAATTTTTTAATCATGTACATTTGCACCCCCGTAATTTTGCGTAACCTCGTATACATTTGCACCAGCGTAAAATTGCAACCGAGTACATTTACAAACACGTACATTTGCACCCGTGTACTTTTGCGCTCATGAACATTTGAACCCACGTACATTTGCACTGGACATTTTTATCTATGGATAATACCGTATTTATATATACACCCTCAAACTTTCATGGTTTGAAAAATTACACTTAGGAATCTTCCTACCCATGTATATACCCACTTATAAACATGGTATTTCTAATTATATACAGGCAAGACATAATACTATTTAAAATATAGTCTGTTGTTGAAGATGAATTGAAGGCAGTAAAGTAATTACTGACGTGTAATATGACAAAGAGAAATTTGCTAAGTATTTGCGTGGTGCAACATCAAATTATATCAATTGACGCAATAGTGCAAGGGGTAGAATGAAGCGAATTGCTAACGTTCGCACAAAAGATATAACTACGTATTTGACTTCGGTACTCCCGAAATATGTAAACCAATATCAATATGGCGGACACCGGGACGAAGTATGTGTACCAGGTTAAGGTTAGGCCATAATTTTCATTACATTTTTCTTATTTTGTTTTATTACAAGTTCGGGGACTAGCCAAGTGACTCCGGTAGTATTTGTACCTGAAATTATGGCCTACCCCTTACGTGGTAAATATACTACGTTCCGGTGTCCGCCATCTTGGTACGCATACTTAAGGAGCACCGGCTATCGTGTCCATATATTTAAGTATCGTTCTCTTATTAAATAAAATGTAGTCTGATATTGAAGATGAATAAAAGGAAGTAAAGTAATTGCTGACGTGTAAGTATTTGCGTGGTGCAATATACTTCAAGGAAGTATTGGCTGAATCAATGAGTTAGCTAGTGGCACATTGTAGAGCGCATGTATTGTAGGCATTATGCTTTGTGTATAAAGAAAAAGCGCAAAGCGAAATGGAGATCGCAGAAAATCGACCTTTCAAAGTATACAATGTAGTAAATTTCTACTAGACTCCGTATAGCGAGCGACTCATACGTTGAGTAAGTCTATTGGCGCTTTTCTCATTCGGTGTTAGCAAAATGTAGAAAGATGACGTTTCTATGCAGAAAAACTTAATCAAGAAATAATGAAATAGAAAGAGCGCTGGCGTATAGTGAAAAATATTATCACAGGGTGAAATCAAATCTAGAAACACATTTATTTATAGGAGTTTAACATTCCTCAAATTCTCCTCTTTGTTCATGTGTCGCAATTCGAGATATATTCTTTTCCTGTGATGCACAATATGCCTCGTTCGCGAGATTTTTGTGTAATATTGCATCACAAAGGAACGATAAACGAGAACAAATTTCCTTCTGAGAAACACTCGGGTTTAATCTGGAAACATTATTGTAAACACCAGGTTGAGGATCGGCATAAAACGTTGAAATAATTTGCCAAGTATTAAATTTATCCTTATTCCTTTGGATGAACTTTTTCTTGAAAAAAAGTTTTCGTTGATTTCTGTAAACCAGGTTCCCAAACATTTCTAATCAAACTTTTATTTATGTACATACCAATATACCATACTTTTATTGTAAATTTGCATTGCATGATTCCATTTTTACGCAGATAACTTTTAATGAAAATTAGAATATTGCAGTAAAAAGTTCAAGTAAATGCCAAATTTCTGTTTTTGTTGGGACAAAAAACGCTTTTCTGTTGATTATACCGAACCAATTTTTTTTTTCTTAGTTACAGATGAAATCATCTCTCAAGGGCAATATATTTTATATTTGTCATGATTTGAGCTCCATGGAACCGTGTTACATCGAATTTTTTCAAAAATAAAAAAAACAGAAGAAAAAAAATACGTCAAACAGTAGGGTTTTCAACACTAGTTTAAAATTTATTTAGACAAAATATGTAAAGCGTAAAAAGGGAGAATGCAATGATAAAGAATGTAAGCCACGATATTTCATAAATTATCTTTTGATGACGCAAACATTTATCTATTTTAAACTTCGACAGACTTTTACCAATAGCATTTAAAAAAAAATTTTAAGTTCTAGATAGATGCAGGTTAATGTTAATTGTTATTAGATGATAGTAGTTTATTCACAATTACAAAGTTGTTTTAATCTACTAGCTGACGATTAATCACAGATATCAATGTCTTTTTGATGGGATCGTCAAAAATGAAAGTCACGTTTGGACATCATGTTATTTATTAATACTATAACTGTCTTGAGACTTTTTGATGAATAATTTTAATAAGAAATATTATTTATTGATTCGTCATAAAATGAATACAACTGTACGTTTTTTCTTCGAGAATGTTGTATATAGTAACGAAAATATTTTGCTTGTGCTTCTCGATTACGGTACATAATCGCAGATAACGGAAGCATCTTCGCTATGAGTACAATCGTGAATGCCCCAACCTCCATGTTGGCAAAGAGCGATGTTGTTTTCACGTCCATTGCATTTTACTTCATCCAGCCATATTTTGCTATTTCCTTGTCCAAAATGAGCGCTACCCGGGTAGCTCAATGCGTCACCAAAACCGAGCATGTGACAGACTACGTTTGCGTCCAGCTGACCCCAATTATCATCACAGATCGTTCCCCATATACCGTTGTGAAGAACTTCAACACGGCCTTTTTGAGGAGAGCTGTTTCCCACCAAACGCACAGTTGCTAAATATGATAATATACTCGGTTATATTTGTCAGCAACTTAGAATGAGGCTATTTATGTTTTTCGGGTAATGTTTTCTCGAGCAATCACATACAAATATTCAAATGTATTAGTAAAATCTGAAAGACAATAGTATCTCACCTAAGCTTTCTATCTGATTCATAGTTTTTTCCAACAAGGCGCGGATAGAAACATTTACAGAAGAGACCATCTCATCGAAAGAAGAAATATCTTAAAAAGAATTTGCACACTCGACAATTTTCCAAGTAAGATGAATACCACCAATAGAAATGTATACACATGATACAAATTCAGCTTTAAGCACATCGTAAACTTTAATGAAGAATAACTGTCAAGAAGATCGGTTTAAAATTGCTTAGAACCCTAGCGGCAATTGAGATTTATGTGTACGTGATAGCACACATACATTCACAAACGTGAACGGATGTTGTGCATCTCAAACGAACACATGACAAATTTTCATATTAATCTATTGACTACCTCGAATCCATTCATTTCAATATGAACAAACCTTCGGGATTGGTGCGCATCACTTGGGTCGTAAGATTCTCAATTTTCACTTCCAACCCTATAAGTTCAAATAAAAAAAATATATATAGATAGATTATATATATTAATATCAAGAACCATATATGCATTACTTGGAACAAATAAAAATATATATAATTCTACATTATTTCGTTTTAACATGAGCTTCACAAAAGTAAAAACATTGTTTCCAAATATTATCTCTTCTATTATTTACACGAAATATGAAAATCGAATAGGCATTCTCTTTAAATAAAAATGTCATATTATCTTATCGTATAAGACGAATACCATGAAATAATTCTTATTACACAAACCTCCATTGCTGATGCGGATTAAGTTGGTGTCAGTTTCAATCTCTCTCATACGATTCTCCATTGTTACCATTGTCGTCTCCAAGTCTGTAATTTCAAATGAAGAATATGGAGTTTTTATAATAATTTGAGGAATAAAAGCACTATTTAAGATGAAAATTGAAAAACATATACAATTCCACAATAAGTCTTTTAGCAAATGTTAATATTTTATTTGGATAAGACAGGTCGCGGTTTTGAATTGAACAAATTTAAAAATTTGAGTCTCAGTATGAGTCAAATCAATTCGAATTGCTGCTGTTTCGATTCCCAAGTCGAGTCATGGAAACTTTCATGACAACGAAGTCATGAAGAAATATGAGCCATCTTGATACTGAAAATTCAAACTTTCGTCAAGCAATATTTTTAAAGTCAAACTAACAATAAATCATGTGGTACAATATTTTCAGTTACCACTGCAACAAGCCAGTGTATTTTAATCTTTCACCAACGCAGCACCGATCGACGTGTTAAATTGCAAGTTAACAATTTTTTGCCAACCAAATGACTCACTTAAAATTAGATATGAGCTCAGGTCAAGTCTGTCTGGCGGATAGCAGATTTCGAGTTCGAGTCAATTCATTTTGTTATAACAGCTCTCGCTCTATAGTCACTTCGAATTCGAACCTTCAAACACGACTTGATCTCATCTGGATCGAGTTAAATGATCAAGTCTCCGCGGAACTAACTTTTGCCAAACAATTATGTTCATTTAATAGTGTTATCTACAACCGTTGTTTTCTCGACCATTACCTTACGTGTATATTTCCGTAACGTTAGCCAATCACCAATATGTCAAAGGTGAAGTTACAATTAAAATTTTAGCGTCCGCGCAGACACTTTTTCACTTTCACCGAGTTGAAGATTTGAAGTTAACTATATGTTCAAGAGTGTATATCAGTAACTTAACTAGTATAAACGCCTTCTTCTGTATTTTCCTAACTTGAAATATTGTAAATACAAGCATCTCAATCGTAACATTTTGTAACAGTATTAGTCAAGTCAATTCGAATTGCTGCTGTTTCGAGTCACAAGTCGAGTCGTGGAAATTTCATAAACAGCAAAGTAATGGATAAATAGAAGCCATTTTGAAATAAAGATTTCAAAACTTCATATTTATTTATAACAACAATGTTTTTAAAATCAAACTAATCAAGTATTATCAATATTTTCTTTCGTACCAAGAAGGCAGCATTCATTTACCGCTGCAACAAGCCAGTGTATTTTATTCTTTAACCAGCGCAGTACCGATCGACGTGTTAAATTGCAAGTTGACAATTTTTTTGTTATTTAAAATTTTAAATGACTCATTTTATCTTTGAGCTCAGATCAAGTCTGTCTGGCGAATTTCAGATATCGAGTTCGAGTCAATTCCCTTTGTTTAAATAGCTCTAGTCCTAGTCACTTTGAGTTCGTACCTCCAAACATGATGTGAGTTCGACTGGATCGAGTCTGCGCGGCACTAACGTTTGTCAAACAATTGTGTTCATTTATTAGTTTTGACTACATTCAAAGTAGAATAACACATACATTCACAAACAAATACTTGACAAATTTTCATATTGAGTTATCAACTTCCGCATTGACTGAAATGGACTAAGTTAAATAAAAGTCATTCATTTCAATTTTAACAAACCTCTGTGATTGATGCGCATCACTTTGGTCGTAAGATTTTCAATTTTCAATTCCAACTCTATAAAATTAAATAGGAAATATAGGTCGTTTTCATATTATTATCAAGAACCGTATGCATCACTTGAACAGATAAAAAATATATATCATTCAACATAATTTATTTTTAACACGAGCATCTACCTTGAGACTAGGACATAAAAGTTATATCTATATTCATAATCAACAATATTTAGGAAATCAAACTAACATTAATTACTGCATTAACAATATGTTCTTTCGTACCGAAAGCGCATTTCCTTTTTGGAGCTCTTTTCTCTCTTATTTACGAGACATTTTGACCAAGCTGCAATCTCAATGTAATTAAGAGTGTGTATATAATTCCCACCTCAATTCAACTTTTGTTAGTATCATAAATGTAGCTGAGTTACAATATATAGATATAATAGGAACTTCACTAAAATAAAATGCGTCTTCTGTATTCCATTGAATTAGAATATCGTAAACATGATCATCTTAATTGTAATGCCATTCTAAAAAAAATTCTTATTTAACAAATTGCGCTTTACTTTGGTCATAAGATTCTCAATTTTCACTTCCAGTTCTACAGGTTCAAATGAAAAATATTATAGCACTCTATATTCAGAAGTTGAATTTGATACAAATACAAAATCCTTTCAAACCAATAGGTAAGTTAGAAGTGAAGAGTACATACCTTTCATCATCTTTTGGACTCTATTATTATTCTGAGAATGAGACAAATAAAGAAATTAAATGCCAGCATACATATACTATTTGTTTGAGATCGCTAGTCTGTCAAATGCAGTCTGAAGCCATATATTGCATTTACCTGCACGACAAAAATCATTCCGCATGCTGCTAGTCCAAACGTTAAGATGAGAACTGTAGTTATGGCGATGTTACAGCAACTAATTTTTCGATTCTTCCTTTCCGGATTTTTCTTGCAAGCATTGTCTATAAAATGTTTATCATAATTTAAATGACGACATATTATGATGATGTTAGTAATTTCTGAACATGATTTTTAAGGTAATAAAACTCGTTACCTATATTAATAGTCTGTCTGTTATCTTGTCCCGTGGCCACAGATGACCCGGCGTGATTTATATACTCCTCATAAACGTTTTCGTTTGTCTCTGGTGGTTCGACGTTACCGTAAAAATTCGACATGTTATTTTACCTACATTAAAGCTTCACCAAAAGTGCGAATAACTGAAAATTATATTTAAACTGGAACAGAACTGCATGGGAAATCCATAACACGTGAGTCAGATTCAAGTAAAAAATGCTGAATGCGTGAATACACATGTTTTTTAAACATTTTGAATTTGCAACTTCGTCACATTTAATCCGACAATAGATCACAAGGTTAGAAACGAAATAACGTCGGTTTCGCTGTAACAAAGTACTTCATTGTGATCACAATGGTCAGAAGTTCAGGAAATATTTCTGACTATGACTAATTCTCACAATCGACTGCATCACTTGTTAATCTAACAGTAAATCGAGTTAAAGTCATTGCAATAATTTTACAATAAGCTCTTCGCAAATAGTCATATAGGAATAGGAAATTTGTTTTACATGAGCAATACTTTTAACATAGCGTTCACTGTTAAAAATTTTCGTAGCATTAACAAGGAAATGGCAGATAAAAATACATTTCACTTCCCTGTTTTTGTGAAGACGTAAAATATACTGGGAATTCCTGAAAGAACGATGGGATTTCACTGTACGTCATCTCTTTTGCCTTTTTATTGGCTACTGTATTCTCTCGTTTTTAAACAAACCAATCACAGACGCTTATTTTCTCGCACCAAAACATATGCGGCAAGCGATAAAGCGACTGACTGTCATGAACCACGATCCGCTATTGACCAAGAAGGCGAGTTCTTCCGTTTTAATGAGGAAGTTGATCAATGTTGGAGGTTTGAGTTATACTGATGGGTAGGGCGATACCAGTATATTATCGAACTATGTGATAGCTATATAATGTCAGAAACTTATAGGCCTACTACATGTGAATGCTTTAAAAATGGATTTAATATGTTTACTCGAGCAATGATGAATAAGACCTGTTTTTAAATATATCTCGCACGTGCTCGTCCGCAAGTAGAATTATGATTTCTCATGTTATACACTCGAGACTCACTGCTTGCTGTTCACACTGTGGTTTTCCTGTTCTTAAGCAAAACGATCCACCATTTATCTTGATGTTTGTCATTAGCCCTGCGTTGTAAGTAGGGCTGGCCATTTTCGAATACCTGATGATTTCAGAATCGAATCGAATATTTTTTTCGAATCGAATCTCGAATACTCGGGAGATATAAAATTGTGTGTAACTTCCTTATTATATTAGGTCTTCAGACACATAAATTACTGAAAACATAGAATACATCACTCAGGCAGATTACTGAGTGTTCACACACAATAAAAAAGCACGTTTTTCATCATATGTCACAACTGCGTTGAGAAAATGAGAAATTTACCTCAACTATTGGCGGAAAGAAAAAAAAAGATGGCGGCGATTCGAAATTTTGCTTTGAACCGATCCGAATTATTAACTATTTGATTCGATTCGAATAATCGATTCAAAATGCCCAGCCCTAGTTGTGAGTCTCTCCAAATATGTAGGTTTGGGTTTGAGCTATGTTCACTTTCCTTTTTACAGGGCGTTCTCTGACACTCTAATATTCTTACTATGTGTCTATTAAGAGGATAATATTGGCAACAGTGGAGGATTTTTTAATGAAATAACGTATGTATTCATGGCATATTTTTGCCTTTGGTGTACCCAAAGAAGACTGCTTCTATTCTTGAGTTTATTCAAAGGTATTTTGAAACATGTTCTATTGAGCATTTTATGACAACTTAATCGTAGTAAGTAAATGTATTTTTTGCATACAACTACTCAGATTCTAACTTGACTGCTGTGCAGGATTATTAGTTGTGCTGAATAGCAAGCATTATATTAGAACTTTATATGGAGTTAAAAAACAGACGAGGTGTGCATGTTTCTCTGACTTTGTATTTGACATCACATAATGGGGTTGTCAACACCTGCCTGAATATTGGCTGGCACTTGCTAATTGTGCATATATGTTTGCTTAGGATTTATGACCTCTTTCCTTTTCAGATATGTCGGGGCAGTAACACTGAAGAAAAGAAAATTCGACATGAGACCAACCCGAAGGAGATTGCTGAAGAAAATATGCGACCTCTAAAATATGCGAACTCACTGTATATAATTTCGAATACACTGTGTAACAAAAAAGCTCACAGTTTTTTACCTAGTTTCCCTGTTATCTTACATTGAGGAAATCACATTTTTTTCTTTTTAAAGTTTGATTTCGTGAAAATGGGAGATTTCCCTAAAATCGTTTTTTTTTTGTAGAAAATTGTATGAAAACTTTCATTGTAATAGTCTGGTGCGATTGCTCTCTAGGGTTTTGATATTTCATAGTTATATTCCTTGTATTCTATGTAAGACATCTTGAATTTAAAAAAACTCAAAATCGATCAAACAAGTTGTATTTCTCTAGATTTTTAACTATAGTCCAAGTAGATTTCACAATTAAGTCCTCATAATGCAGTCACCCATCCTTCGCTGATAGTACTGTCATTGGTAACGTACGTTAACGTATTCAATATGCATATTAAATTTGTGAACGTTCATTATCAATGGCGGTACAATGAGCGAGAAATGGGTGACTATGTATAATAGTACCTAAATCGACTTGTTGGAAATCTAGTAGAAAAAAAACATATTTGAAAAAACATAATTTTCTTTTAGCTTGCCAAAACGTTATTCAACATAATTTGGTATTAAATTGTTAAGGAATACGGCTCTGGAGTATCAAAACACTAGAAAATCGCTCCAGACTATATTGAAATGACAATTTTTGGCTGTTTTTTGTTGAAATTTTCCACGAAAACCTGATTTTGGGAAACCCCCTTAATTTTCAAAATCAAACTTGAATAATATAATGTACTGTTCTTCAGATTTGGACCGTAATCAATTGGAAGCCGAAAACAATATATTTTGGGGGGGGGGGATGGGGGTCAAATATTAGAATTTCTAGCTTGAGTTCATGGTCGTATTTGGAAATTGTCTTAAGTCTTGGCGCATGCTGAGAAATTTGTTATTTCGATGACATATATAGTTATGAAAAATATGCCTAAAAATCACCAAAAAACATATTGAAAGTTTTGGGGTCGTTACCACACCCCCTGTCTGTGCCTGTGATTTTTATGTTTAATTTTTTGGTGATTCGTTTTTGAGAATAAACTTCTCTAAGTTTGTTTTAGTTGATCTGTCATAAGTAGGGCTGGGAATGGTTAACCGATTTCAGATGGTTAACGGTTACGATTTATTTTAACCGTTAACTGACATTTCAGGTACAAATCATTTTCATACCGTACAATTTCTTCAAATATGATTACGCCATCGCAAGTTTATCTCTTGTGGCATTTAATTCAAAAGAATATTACTAACTGTGTGGGTAAGGACTCAATAAATGTGAAAAATAATGGAAGTACCAAAATTTCTGATTATGGAAACTTGACAATGATGAATTCAGAATCAGTTTTCGGTCGATTTCGAAATATATTGTTCAAGATTTCATTGCAAAATCGGATATTCAATGTCATACAACCAGGGCTGGGGAGTCGGAGCTGGAGCCGTGACATTTTGATGGAGTCGGAGTTGGAGCTGAGCTGGCCATGATAGATGGAGCTGGAGCCGGAGCTGCAAGAAATTTCAGCGGCTCCAGCTCCTGACAATAGAATTATTTTTTTTTACTTTTCTGATTTTTTAATAATTTCTAGGGTTGAGAAACAATAATTATGCTCAGTAATTACGCCGATTTTAATTCTATAATTTTTGGCGCCTCCAAACACTTAACAGAACTAAATAGTTGTATAATTAATCAAGTTACTATTGTTCTAAAGTAAATAGTGTTGGATTATATCACGGATCTTGGTATTTTTAAACGGCGATAACGATTTGGCAAGATCGCAAAAATATGAATCAAAGTTAATTATAATCGGGCAGTTTTCCACGCATTTTACGTCCGTAGCTTGTCGTTTATGTTAGAGATGCTTTTATTATTTCGTAAGTCGACGCAACATTGAGTTACTTTGAACAGAATAAAAACAGTAAGGCAAGTGCTGGTATCGGTCATAGGTTACATTTTTAGCACAATAGAAAATCATTTTCTGACAAGTCGTTTTTTTTTAATATTATAAACAAAATTATTCGCCAAAGCGCTGGAAAAAGTATAAATTATATTTTCCTAATCTTCCCAATAAAGCAACTTATTTTTCCGACTTGCGAAAGTTTATTGGGGTATCGTAACAAAACGTATGAAAACAACTTATTTAATATATGACCTTGGTTGGATCTAAGCGAGACGTGTGAACATAATAATATTCAAATTTTGATTTCACTTCCATTCGCTCGCGGGATTGGCAAGAATAAACGCTTTGCGGGAAGGTTTTCTAAAAGTGAGTGCGTTTAGTTATTAATAATATCTTTACATAATTAATAATTTCCCGACGTAACTGGAAATAAATGCGAAAATGGCGACAATATCCACCACGCAACCGTGAAAGAATGCTGTAACTCGCACTGAAAAATGAATGTATCTAACAATTCTATTTGGTCGTCTTAAAAACACATGACAAAGCGCATAAAATCGTTCGAAGATTTCACACGGAAACGAAACAAACAAACAGCTTGCGAAAAGTGACTATTACTTTAAAATTTGAAAAAGTATCGGAATACTTTGATATAGCAATATGGACTGATAAAGTTATTTTGTCGTGAAAAGTAGCGGTAATGCATTCTGATATACTGTTTTCTGTGAAACTTAAGTTTCATGCTTGAGAACTACAAGCAGTCGCGGTCGTTAACGGGGTTGCACACCTAATTCAATTTTTGCTGTACGATCAAATTACCATATATATATGTATACTAATATTTATTGATGTCGATTAGTGGCCAATGTAACCGGCTATTTTACGATTACCTGATTACAACTCCTCACTGTTTTTCTTTTTATAATAAATGGTATTTAATGGAAAGTGTTAAAAATACTTTTGTAGATGAAAAAAAAACAGACGACTTAAATTTCTCAGAAATATTATTTGCGAATAATTTGATTTCGGCGATCTAAGAAACCTCATTGCCGCTTACGACTACTAGTAAAAAACAAAACTATATTGCAAAGAGGGGCGTTTTGACTATTTGGGAATCCCTAAATATTATGTAATATTTCCGAATTTAGATCTGAAGTGTCGTATATAAGGTTAGGTCATCGGCTTTCTCAACTTGGTTGTATATAACGAAAATGGATTCCGAAAAAAATGCGATTTGTTTTCTTGTCTTCGTCTCATAAATTGCACCGCGATATAATGATGCGACGCGGTAGGTTACATGGAGTGTGTTCAGTGGATTTAGTCGAAATCGGGATTGCGCGATAATTGATTGTAGTCCAGGTGTGGCTTGCGCAATACATCGGCAATTGTGGACAAGAAAAAAACGATCGGCCGATTGCTAATTTACCTTTGTGACGTAACTAACAGTAACGATCACGTAGACATGTCTGGGCATGTACAAGCAATGCTGAAACCTGACATGCTGGCTTGCATGCCTAGGTGTCGGAATGGCCAGTTGATGAATATCAGGGGTTCCCAAACTTTATTGGACGCGGGCCAAATTTAGAATCGGGAGAATGTTCGCGGGCCGGAAGAGTTTAGCGCCCGAAAGTTCGCGGCGGTTTAGCTGGGATTCAGTGGATTCACTTTCATTTGACATTTTTTGCAATCTGTTTGTTTGACTCATAATGGCGCCTATGTCGTATTCCTTCAGAACTGGAATATTTCATTGGCAAGGAAGACAAATCGCTGAAGTTTGATTCTTTGCAATACAGAAATATGAAAGCTACCATTTATCCCGGAAACGTCTATTTGCAAAGTCTAGTTTTGTTTGTTTTTTTGACACATGAGACCAATCCCGTAAATAAGACCTAGCCTGAATTTTAAGAATGATTTTAATATAAGCCTCGCCGTAAAATAAGACGTATAGTCAGTAGCACCTAGTCGATAGCAGGAAATCACCCCTATAGTCCGGCAGAATCGGGCTTTAACATTGTTTTGGGACATAAAGTTTTTTTTATTGTTTAGATATAATGTATATGACATATATAATGATACCCAAGTGGGTGTGGAGAATATAATATTGAGCAATTTTTTTAGGTGGATTTAAAGTATTCGGCCCAAGATGACGCACATCCTGAACCATAACCTGGTAAACATACAATTTTCAGGTTGTGCGCCATCTTGGTACGAATACTTCAGGAGCGCCTTTTTGTTAAAAACAATTATTTCATAACTACATGGTTTAGTTTTGCATAAATAGTAACATTGAATCTCCTTACAATGTCAGAAATTCAATTTTAGTAGAATAAATGGTTGTTTATTTCACTAATACAAGCCAAGATCCATCAACAACATCTAACCAGTTTCTATTGCCCCCTTCAAACTACATTTGCGTTGCCGCGCGCATTTTGCTTTCCTAGTTTAAGCTTAGGGACTTGGGAAATATTTTATTAGTTGAATTGGATTGGAATATTTGACCTCGTCTTTAACTCCGAACAAGGCCATGTAAAACCATCCACTGGTATCTAAAGATGTGTAACGTGTTTTCTTTTGGAAGAACCGCAACCTTCCAGTGCTGCATTGACTCTGGCAAAATTAATATATCCTTGTGGAGATAGAAGGTATGCGTATGCGAAACCGAGATGTGCACCTGTTATGCCAACATAGTTGAGTCAAACGTTTTGAATACTAGTATATCACACACTTTTTCCTGCGTGCTTCGGTTGTACAAAGTAACGCGCACATTTTTGTGCACATGCATCAAATTCCACTTGATTATTGAGCTATAGGTTTTTGACGAGCTTTTGTGTATGTTTTCATTCCATAGAATTTGTATGCTGTTCTAAAGAATACTAGTTTCAGCTTTTTCATTTATTCAAAACGCGTGTTGAAAGTAAGTTTTGTAATATTGCGTGTTGGTTTCCAACATCCTTAAATCGTGATGCCAGTAAATCTTTATTACAAATATAGATCAGTAACATCTGCAATAAAAACAGCAGTACCCACTCAAATGAGCTGGGGGATGGATACTCTTAGTATCTGCTCCATCGCGTGCCTCTTACAGTCTTACCAGTTTACATGAGTGCCAATTGGTATCTAAGCTCAGCCAGAGACAAAAAGTTTCGGACTGCATTTGGCGTGACGAAATGTTTTTAAATATATATTCTACAATAAGATTATTTGATTGCATACTACTGAAAGTTCCGCCTTATATGTCCTTTCTCATTGCACTATTTCTTTACGGATATTCGATATAATGACGCTCATCTGACATAGTTCTTAAAGTGTGTAGATGGGTATAATCTTTTCCACGCTGTTCAAATGCGAATGCGCGAATATATATAAGCATTGCTAATATTGGTTTGCAATGCTTGATGAAATCCCATCTTGGCATTTCTTCCTCTCGCAATTGCTGCGTATACTTATCGGGGAAGTTCTGTGGCGTGGTTATCAAATGAAAAAAAAACATGGGCAGTATTTTTTCTACTTCTCTACTACTATCAAACCTTGACATTTTGTGAAAACTTTTTTCCATGCCACCTTTTTTTAAAACATCCCCAACAACCACAATTAATTCTGTTATTAAACTTCCGAAACAAACACATAAAATCATCAACAGATGCATATCACCAAGTAGATATTGCTGAATTGATCTTTATTTTACCATTTTTCATGTAATTCTTTTTGATAAACCTGTTATCTATCGTAAATACAGCACATTTGACAATGTTGTAGTGCGACTTTTTTGGCCTCACATTTTCGATACTTGTAGTTAGAGCTCTTGGGGCTCTGTCAAACAAAGTTACATACAAAATATTGGTTGTAAATTGCAAAACATGATCATGTTGTTGGAATAACTTGGCATTTTACCACCCGTATATCATTCATTGTTGAGAATATAAATAAAATCATAAAATTTAAAAATCCTTTTTCGTGAAATTTTTGTTGTAGCTGAATTCCAGGGACAGCATGACAACAGGCAAGAGAAGCACGGTCGCCTCTTTTAGTTTATGACAGGGTTTCTTAAAAGGGGACCCCGTCCTCCTTGGAGGCCGATGATCGGTTATCTGGGAGCACGAAAAAACAGATGGAAATGCGAATATATAATAACAATGTATTTTTATAGGAGAGAAGAAGCAAAA